TTTATTTTTAAAGAAGAAAGAATTATTCTCTCTCACTGAAAGTCAGATGAAAAAGAGATGGAACCTGCACAAAGGTTACAGTCAGAAGAGACAAAGACCACAGAATATATTTTAATCTTAAAGCTTGATATTAATATTAAACTCTAAGTACTGGCTGTTGATTTCATAGCTCTGCTTGTTGAGAGATGCTGTGTGCTGTGAAGTAGAGACACAACAGGAGACACTGAGATACTGGAACACCAGGGCTGACCTTTCTGCACTGTCCTTGGCACAGGTACGAGACGGAGTACGGCCTCCGGCAGAACGTGGAGGCTGACATCAACAGCTTGCGACCCTTGTTGGATAATCTGACTCTGAGCAGGTCTGACCTGGAAATGCAATTTGAGTCTCTAAGGGAGGAGATGATTGACCTGAAGAAGAACCATGAGGAGGTAAGAGCCAGCTTCTTGAAATGCAAACTGCAGTGGAAAACACAAACACTTATGATTTCGGAAATGTGGGCAGGTTTCACAGGTAACATCCTCTGCACTAAAGAGTCTTCCCTGCTCTCCTCATGTGCAGCAGCTCGGCGAGGGGCCTCCTGGGACGGGCTGACTGCCAGGCCCAGGCTGTTCAGGGCATCCCTGAGCACTGTCCAGCAAGCGATGACTGGGAGGTCAAGGCCAAATAATTGCAACAAGAGAAAAACCCAAACAGACTTATCTGTGTTGTTGGGTTTATGATGCCAGAGCAAGTCAACTCACTTCAAAAGTCTTTTGCAAAGTAATTTCACCATTTTTGTTTATTTCCCTTTGTTTATTTGGGTTTTCTCTGCAGGAAATGAAATCGCTGCAATCACAGTCCAGTGGGGATGTGAATGTGGAGGTGAATGCTGCTCCAGGAGAGGATCTGCTGAAAAAGCTGAATGATATGAGACAAGAATATGAACATATTATTCAGAGAAACCGTGAAGAGGTTGAAAGGTGGTACGAGAGCAAGGTAAATGGTTACAACATGAATGTTCATGTTACAGAAGCACAAGAGTACCAACTTCCTGTAGCTGAATGGCACTTTGAACAACATCCGTTGCTTTTAGGAGATAATGGTAGAATCCCTTTGATGTAAATAAAGGAAATCACAAGTGGGCTTGAACTGCACTGGCAGAGCCGTAGGAGCAAGTTTAAAGAGCCCCTGTATCACAAGTGGCCCTGCTTCCACTTGTTGTGTTGCCAGATGCTTCCCTGATAAACCCCCATGCTGACGTTCTAAGTAAAACTCAAAAACTCAAATTCTATATGTTAATTTTTCAGCTGGAAGAAGTGAGTCAACAAGTCCACTCAAGTGGCCAGGAAGTGGAATCAAGCAACCGACAGATCTCTGAGCTGAGACGTGACTACCAGAGCCTGGAAATTGAGCTGCAGTCACAAATCAGCATGGTAGGTAACGATCGCTGCTGATCCCCTGATCTGCAAGGAATGTGTGAGTTGCTGGACTGAGAGGAGATCAGCTAGAACCAGCACCCCATTTAATGAAGGTGCTTGGTGCCTCTGACACCATGTAAGGTTTTTCTCATTTTGGGCATAAGAATGATCTCATCCCACCACATTCCCATCAACACTGTATTCTCCCTTTCATTCTCAGTTACAGTCTCTGCAATCCAACTTGGAAGACACAGAACGTCGCTATAACATGCAGCTGCAGCAGATCCAGGGTATGATCGGCCCCTTGGAGGAGGAGCTGGCCAGCATCTGCTGTGAGATGGAGAGTCAGAACCAGGAGTACAAGATGCTCCTGGGCATCAAGACCCGCCTGGAACAGGAGATTGCTCAGTACCGGGCGCTGCTGCAGGAGGGACAGCAGGACATTGGGTATGTCCATTCAGAAGATGAATTGCCATGTCATCTCTGCCAACGGGTCAGGATGAAAGCAGCAGCAGCATTGATGTTAGAAACTAGTGCAACTAATTCAGCAGCAGCGTATTTACCACAATCACATGAATTCATTATTATTATTCTAAACTTACTATGAACTGGACAGAAACATTTGCAAAAGTATTTAGAACTGTAATTTGCCATTTCTTCTCCTAAGTACAGTCAGGAAGTACAGTTATGTATGAAAACGAAAGGTAAGCAAGAAAACTGTACATATTTTGAAAGACTTCTAAAGACATCCATCATCTTTCTTTTTCTTCTTCTGTGCAGTTTAAAACCCGTTCTTGAGAACATGTTCCTCACAATAGTACATTCTCAGTCACAGGAGGAGCTCAGAGGGAGGCAGAAAGGATGCCGGACACTGGCCGTGTTGCTATAAATCTTACACACATGTGTCCTTTCCTCCTTACAGCATCTCACAGGGAGGAGCTGGTGGTGGATCTTCAGGAGGAGGAGGTCATGGAGGAACTATCTGGCCTTCTGGAAGAGGAAGTAGTGGAGGAGGAAGTAGTTGGTCCTCAGGTGGAGGAAGCGATGGAGGAAGAACTGGAGGATCCTATGGAAGAAGTTCCTCTTCTGGAAGTGGGGGAGGAGGGAGCGGAGGAAGCACAGGAGGCAGAGGCTGTGGTAATACTTCAGGTGGAGGAGGTGGCAGTGGTAGAGGAGGAGGGGGCAAATGTTGCCTCTCCCGCTCTTCATCTTCCCAGTTCCATTCTGACAACTCTTGTGAAAGCCAAGGCAAAAATTGCAATAACAGAGAACATCCTCCCACTCACTTTTCTCTCTGAACAGCAGGAAGGGATGCGACAACTTCCTTCCTTATTTGGAAATCTAGAGATATTTTTGCTCTTTTTTTCCCAATCTTGTTTTAAGTCCACTCTGACATTTGTTCTTACATGGTAACATCTCAACATGGTAGTATTTCAAATGAAGAGGATGTTCTGAAGAGTTGTGTCAGATGTGTAGAAAGAGAAAATGAAGAGTGAAAAGGAAAAATAATGCCCGGTCCAGAGCATGCAGAGAACTGGAGAAATCAGTAGATTTGGACTGAAGCCAAATGTTAGAAATGAAACTGGTATTAAGGGGGGAAATGGTTAAAGCAGGGTAAAATAGCTGGAACACTCAAGACATTTAAAATACAAGGGGCAGTAGCTGCAAAATCCTGAAGTAGCAAAAGATGGGGAGTGACCAAAGGTCTTCTCCATGTCTGATTTCATGGCTGTGGTTCCAGGAGGTGCTGAAAACATGAGGCTCTGCCTGGAAGGGAATAAAACATTGGAGAGAGGAGCAACAATGGAGGAAGTGTCTGAAGCCATAAAAACGATGAGATTGGGTAAGGCTTCAGGTCCTGACAACATCTCAGACAAAAGCTGTGAATTCAGAAGGCTTTTGTGTAATGAGTAAGATTTTTTGATAAGATTTGGTGTAGATGAGATCTAGTTTTTAAAAGTTAATACACTTTGCAAACTCCTCTGTAAAAGTTTACTCCTTTGATCAAACATCCTGTCTGATTTGCAACAGTCCCACATATGCTTGGTAGGCAAGATTAAAATATATTATGTGCCATCCATCTTTCACTGATAAAAATTCATTGTAAATATCCATACACACATAAATAGAGACTCTAAGTTCATCTGTGTTTGATTTATACTGCTACAGTCACTCGTAATTTAAAGTGATTTACACTTACACAGTTGAGAGTAGAAGCAGGTCCAGGTATTTATTGTGACAAAGCTGCAAACACACGGGCTTGTACAAATATGAAGTCTGAGACTGTTCAAACCTTTCCAGAATGCTGGGAAAAAAACCTGGTCCACTGAGACCTGCACAGTCTGTCATTCTGAAGTAACAAAAAAATTAAAAATCATGAATGAGATGATAACACTTCTTCAAGAAATTCTTGCTTCCATTCATCTTTCAACAGGGAGTTTTAGGAAGTCTGAGGATTGATTGGCAAAACCAGCATCTTCCCAGTGGGCCTTTGGACCGAGGCAGACTACACCGAGCGCGCCCGATTGTGCCTCTGCGAGGAGAGAGCCAACGCTTGTTCAAGTTAACACTGTTCACTCCAGGGGCTCATCAGAACTCTCTGCATGGCCCACCTGCTTCTTCCAGCTGAATTTCTATGCCTAATCACTGTTACTTGAGTTAATCTCTACCATGATTGGTAATCCTGTGGGGGGGGGAAAAAGAAAAAAGAAAAAAAAAACCCCTTCTAATAAATCTTTGCTTCTCTCTGATGCAACCAGACGTCTGTGAGAAATTTCCTTTGGTAGACATTTTTGTTTGAATCAGTTATAAATATCAAGCCCTGCTGTGAATACACAGTAACATGTCAGATTATGCATAAACCACAAAAGTTTGCAGGGACATATTCACCATTTAAGAGTAACTGGGCAAAACTCTGAAGAACACACAACCAGGTACAATGTGCTGGTGGTCCCTGCAATGGGAAAACTAACAGTCAGAAAACCTGCTCGATTCTGGTGTTAACATCTGTCAGGGAAAGGAAGGTGGGTTTAAGGAACTGACCATTCCCTAGAAAGCTGCTTAAAAAATAATCATCCTAAGGAGTCGCCGAAATGCATTATGAGACTTCTTAATCATGGAATTTAAAGTTGAACATTTTCAGATCCCACTGCCAAAACACCCCTGAGAACTCAAACCATGGACAATTAATTGTCCAAACTGAACCCATTTTGAGTGCTACCTGCTTGGGGATACAAGTTCAGTAACAGAGGGTCTCAGAGAAGAAGGAAGTCACAGGCTTGTTTAACTGATCACAACCTGCCCTGCTGTCTGTACGGTGCCTGGTGCTTCCACTTCAGGGCATTCCTCGTGTCTCCGTATGGACAGGTTTACATTTCACAGAGACAACTGGCAAATTATTCACGTTTAGGATGTGATTGTACAAAAGGCAGCGATAGATTCAGAGAAAAAAAAAAAAGATATCCAAGAGAAGAGATTCCCAAAGTACTCGTAAGGGATCCCACAGCTCAGGGACTGCTCACAGCAAGTGCCCTGACAGACAGGGACTGAACTTCCTCGCTGTTTCCCTCTGTTCTGCCCGGGCAGCTGGGGTCTCACTGGCCAGTGGGGTCCCTCTGCTCACTCCCCCACACTCCTT